TTGGAACTGCTCATCAAACCAATTTAACTACTTTTACTAGCAAGAACAGTGTGTAAATGAAATCTGCAAAATAAATAACCCTTACTGTGGATGACAGGCCATGGACATTAATATTATTCTTAGGTAAAACAGAGAATTTACATTTACATATACATTAAATGAGTAAGAGTAATTATTCATGAATGTATGACAATACACTAAATATTAACCAGAATTTTCTTCCTACAGATTCATACAAGCAAAGCAAGAACACACCACTAAAAGTCCTAGTAATTTTTCCCTTATATTACAGATCCTTTCAATCTTTTCCAGTACAACTTTATCAACCCCAGTAACCTTTATTTGACTAAACACATTTTCCAGCACGGTATCCACTGTTGGCCTGATAAATATGAAAACAGAGCATGCACTGCTTCCTTTGGTAGCTTGCTCCAAAAGACAATCTCTCCTGTCAAGATACATGGGTTATCATCAGTCTGGCAATGTCTGGTTTCAGTGTTCAGCCACTTTTTCTACGCTTTCTTTTGTACATTAAAGAGACGTTTAGAGAAGGTATTTTCTTACAGTGTACTGATATCAAACATTAATTACATAATGTAATCAACCAACTCTCTAAACACATAAGCAATTCAACACTATTAAGGAACTCATTTTCAAGTGCTAGAATCATTTTATAGACCTTACCCAAAGTGCAATTTTTCAACATTTCATGAACAGTTCTAACAATGGGCAACAGTCTAGTCCTAGTATCGCCTATGTCAGACAAATGCACCTGTGTTTCACACGAATAATTTCCTATTACTCCTTGCTCTGTAATTTATCAAGCTTCACTTAGCCTTTTTAACACAGCATTACACCATGAATTCATTTGGAGCAACCTGTCCATCATAATTACTGGTATACTTTTTAATTGCTACTTTGGTAGGAATGGTGCTTAATGCTTTAAGCGTGGCTTGCACATCTTGGTTTACATCTTCTCATGTTTATTTGCTTAGGTTTATCTTGCTAAGCAGATCATACTCTCCAGCTGTTTCATTCTGTTACTTACTGTTACTCTGAACTCTGCGTAACCTGCAACTTCTTTCAGCAATAATTTAAATTCATTTGCAGCAGATGCTCAAACTCTGAGACTGCTAACATACCCTGATGAGACCCACAAGACACAAACATTTGATGATTCCTTACCCACAACTTTCTGGGATGTCATTTAGTTAGTTAATGTTTTAGCAAATGCTTTAGTGTATAATATAAACTTTTAATAAGAATTTTATGATGTATTAAGTGCAGTGCAGATCTTTAGTACATTACAGTAAGTTACATTACAGTAACAATATTACATCTTCATATTTACCTCTATCTACCAAACAGATAATCACAAAAAATGAAATCAGAATTTTTTAAAGATGTGATTGTTTTCAAGAAAAATGCATTAATTATACTCTTAACCTTTATCTGTTAACTCAGTTTTGCACCCATTATTTTGCTGGTATCTGATTCAGGCTGAGGAAGGCACAGCAGCAGGCGATTCGTGCAGCCAAGATTCGTGGCCCATGCAGCTGCTTCTCCCAGCTGCCTGCCTCAGGCCACTGCTGTCCCTGGGAAGGGCCCCAGGAAAAGGACCTGCAGCACCACCCCAACAATTACACCGCAGAACTCCAACCCCTAATATGAACTGAGGCCGGCGTCAGGTTCCCAGCACCTACAGCTGCTGGCAGCGCCCCTGCTGCAAGGGATTTGCAAAGAGCAGTGGGCAGAACAGTTAAGGTGACACCCGCAGGTAGACTTCAGTTCACAAGGGAAATAACAGAATACAGCACTTCATGCCATCAATTTCTAGCCAGGAATCATGCTTGACATCACTAAAAACAGGTAGCAATTTCAACAGATATTAACTCATAGCCATGTTCTTTCCAATAAGGAATAAGCATTAATAATGCCAATGGTCTGAAAACCACTGCTTAGGGAGACTTCAATTTCAACAAATTCACTTAATCCTTAAATCAGTTTAATTGTACAATCTTTCATCTAGTAAGATTAAGAGATAACATTCATTTAATTTCTGTTAAAATTGCAGTTTATAAGAGACATCTTTTCATGAAGAAAAGCGAAATTCCTTAAAAAAATAGACAACAGTCATGACCTTCAGAGCTACAAAAGTTACTTTCATAAAATAAACATCACTCCTCTTTAAAACTGAACTTGAAACAAGGATAATTGACAGTAGTTTATTTGTTAAATCTAATCCTGCCACTTTCTACTTATACACTGAAAAACAATTACTATGCCTTATGCATGTTAACCACGTCCCATTTTACGGGTAAGAGAATAAAATGGATCAGTATTACACAAACAAGATCTCTAGCAAACTCTTCTTCCACTTAGGCTGCTAGGAACATAACCCAGCCCTCAGCAAGGGATGCATGAGATGAACACAAAGCTTAGGTTGGAAATGAGGAGACATTTCTGCTCAGAAAGAGAGGTCAGGCATTGGGATGGGTTGCCCAGGGAGGTGGTGGAGTCACCATCCCAGGGGGTGTTCAAGGAAAGGTTGGACGTGGTGCTTGGGGACATGGTTTAGTGGGTGATATTGGTGGTAGGGGCATGGTTGGACCAGATATCTTCAAGGTCTTTTCCAACCTTAATGATTCTGTGATTCTAACACACGCAACCTAGCACGTGGAAGAAACAAGCCAATGACCAGACTACCAGCTGAAGACTATGAGCAACATAAATTATATCTGCAGGGGAAAACATGCTCACTGGTGAAGATGTCCATCCAAAACCAAAGTGTAAATCAGGGCTTGATCACTCATAGCTGACTGCAAATCCCTGGAAGTTCTTATATCCTATACCTGCCCTGCATGAGGGCACACTCAGAATACCTTCACATCACTGCAGCAGTCACAGCAAGGCTGGTTGTCTTGATGAAAAGAATGACTGAATTTTGAAGGGAAACCAAACCACTAGCAGAGCACCAAGCTCTCCTGTGACGTGAAGAATTATTTAGGGAAAGGGAAAATGGCAATTTAAAAAAGTACTGTCGACTGAGAGTACTTTCAAATTCTGGGATAGAAATACTAAAAATGCATACTGCTGTCCAGTATTACAGAAGTAGAAGAGGCTGATTCACAAATAAAGGTTAAACAAATTTACGTCTGAAATAAGACAAACTGCAACAATGGCCCTCCATACCAAAGGTCCACCTTAGCCTACTAGCCTGTAATGTCCAGTAGTGGATAATTAGGGAAAGAATAAAAGAATAAAGTAAGCATACAGTAGTACACAGTTTACACCAAAAAATAATGATCTTCAAGAAATAACGCTATAACAGCTCTGTCATTCATCTCATTCATCTCAGTAATAAAACTGCTTAGCACATTTTAAGCCTCCAGTGTGTTTTATATTTTTTTAACTTCCAACACAGGTTTTCTTTGAAAAATTATTTCAGCACTAATAAGCATTTCCTTATTAGGTTGAATACAATACTGTATGCCACAGCATCCTTTGCAGGCTGTCCCTCTGACAATGGCAGAGTAAGGGACTGACAAGTCTTTGAGCTGGGATAGTCTATTTATACCCGATTCATTACCAAAAGTTGTATTGTTTAGTCTACTTTCAAAACACTGAAAGAGACATATTCTGGAGCCTTATTTAATAGCCTACTGCAAGGTTTTCTCTATTAACAAATGAAAATCTTTTAAAATTTGCCTTTTTTGTTGTTACAGCTACATAGAACAGTCTGGTTCCTGTACCCATATTCCAGTGCCTTTAATACATGAAGCTGCCATCTTTTCCACCTTCTTTTTCATCAGCCTTCCCCTGATTCCAGCACTGTGCCAGTAACAACCTTCAAATTCCTTCCTTTAATTTCCAGCCCTCCCCGAAGTCCACTCAAGCTCACGTCACTAATTATGGGGACCTTGAGGCAAACACATACTTGAGAACCGTGGAACATGAAGAGGTGTTAGGTCAGATCCCACTGCAGGACAAGGCAAATGAGAAGACAGCAAGTGGTGCTAATAGGCAATCTTAAAAGTGTAAGCTTCCTCAAGTTATTCCACCTTTCCTTGCAGGTCATTCCTCCCAAACGTGCATTTTTGTTTCTCAACTGCAGAATTTCTCTAATCTTTGGTATGACTCTTCAAGAGTAGTTTACAGAAACTAGTTAAAATGTTCCACTAAGGTCTTACTAATGCTGATAAAGGCGTTAGGAAATGCTGGAATGGACTTGAACCTTTGACAATTTGACACTGTTGACCCATATCTGTAGCTAGTCATATGCCCCCCATTTTACAGCTCTAAGTATACTTCTATGTCAACAGAAACCAGAAAGAATAACCCTGTTTTTAAAGATTGAAATATTCACAGAATCATAGAATGGCCTGGGTTGAAAAGAACCTTGAAGATCCTCGAGTTTCAATCCCCCTGCTCCATGCAAGGTTGCCAACCACCAGAGCAGGCTGCCCAGAGCCTCATCCAGCCTCCACAGATGGGGCATCCACAGCCTCTCTGGGCAACCCGTTCCAGTGCCTCACCACCTTCTGAGTGGAAAACTTCCTCCTAATATCTAACCTTAATCTCCCCTGTCTTAGATTAAAACCACTTCCCCTTGTCCTATCACTATCAACACATATAAACAGGCGTTCCCCTCCTGTCTATACGCTCCCTTCAAGTACTGGAAGGCCACAATGAGGTTTCCATGGAGCCTTCTCTATTCCAAGCTAAACGAGCCCAGTTCCCTCAACCTTTCTTCACAGAACAGGTGCTCCAGCCCTCTGATCATCTTAGTGGCCTTTCTCTGGACCCATTCCAAGAGCTCCACATCCTTCTTGTGCTGGGGACCCCAGGCCTACATGCAATATTCCAGCTGGGGTCTCACAAGAGCTGAGTAGAGGGGGACAATCACCTCCCTCTCCCTGCTGGCCACCCCTTTTTTAATGCAGCCCAGGACACAGTTGGCCTTCTGGGCTGCAAACACACACTGCTGGCTCATGTCCAGCTCCTCATCCACCAGGACCCCCAAGTCCTTCTGAGCAGGGCTGCTCCCGAGTTCTTTACCCAGTCTATATAAATACCTGGGATTGCCCCAGCGCAAGTGCAACACCTTGCTCTTGGCCTTGTTGAACCTCGTTAGGTTCTCATGGGCCCACTTCTCCAGCCTGTCCAGGTCCCTTTGGGTGGCATCCCCTCCCTCTCGTATCAACTGCACCACTCAGCTTGGTGTCATCTGCAAACTTGCTGAGGGTGCACTTCACTCTGTCGTCTACGTCATTGATAAAGATGTTGAAGAGCACTGGTCCCAAGACCAACCCCTGAGAGACACCACTTGTGACCAGCCTCCACCCAGACATAGAACCATTGACCACAATATTCACTGCTTTCAGCTGTAATTGTAGCTCCTTCTTTAGACAAAGGTAAGGTATAAACATTTAGACTCAGGAAACCTAGCAGAAATTCAATCAATTCAGTTCTTATTTTAGGATCTGCTTCCTTTCAGAGTTCCATCCTCAGCTTGTCTATTCCTCAAGGTTATCTTCTGCATAAAGACCAGAGTATGCACCAGAGTATGCAACACTACAGTCCAGGTTAGTAAGACAAAAATGTCAAATCTAAGTAAAATGGATATTGAAATAACTGCCCTATAATTGTAGGCATTAAACATTTTTATTATAATTGGATATGCTCTACTTGCTTAAAGAAAAAGGATACATACAGCTCTCTTCAAATATTCAAATACATCATAAGGAAAATGTAAAAAAAAACCCACAGCAGTTACAATTGCTGAAGTATGGTGAGATTCTGAGTATTTGATGCAGTCTACTATCAAATAAACCTCACTTTCATCTGTTCTGAAAATACACCAAAACCAGTTCCTTCCTGCATCAAATCAGGAATATGAAATTCACCAAAACATAGGAAAGCATTAAAGTTCTTGCCTTGCTGGGTTCAGACATAAGAAGACCCACACCAGTAGCAGTATCTTAAACAAAAGCTTATTTATTGATCTTGTTCATATGTGCTACTAGCAATCTTCAATTACTTTAACTTCAAGATCTCCTTCTGTGCTAACTCACATTGTGGTGAAATTACCTCTTGTATAGCAGTAAGTCAGGCTTTACAATCACTGGCTTGATTAGTAATTGCTAAAGCTATTCAAGCACAAGAAACATTGCTCTGATAAGCAAAGTCAAATAGCTTCTTGTTCTTTAAATAAAAAGGAAGAAAAGTGAAAGAAGTATAGTGTCTCACTTCTTGGCTTCCTTTGACTGTGTGAAAAGCTGGACCATACTGAACTGACATCTGTTTCTGCAAAAAGGAAGGAAGCAGCCAGTGGTTTGGGACATTACATGTTCAGCATGAAGGACAGGGCAAATAGGGACAACAGTTACTGTTGGGTGAGCAGGAACAGCATTATGCCCACAGGGACTTTTTGCTGTTGAATCTTCCCCCCCTCCTTTTTTTTTTTTTTTTTTAACAACATGCTAAGATGACAACAAAAGGTCTAGCAAAGAGCTTGAGATGGATTAATGAACTCCTTCGTATCAACTCATTGACAAGTTTAATTAGTGTGCGATTGTGAAAGCATAAATCCTGACCATGAATTTACAAATCCAGGTACAGCATTAAGAGATGCATAGCATCCGAGTAGAGGGACTGCACATCAATTGTCTGTTTGAATTGGAAACCAATGATAAAGAACAAGGACTAAAAAAAGTCTTAAGAACATACAAGAGATTGGTTTTCTGAGGCACAAACAGTGACACATTAGGGCATCAATCCCCTTAAGCAGAAACCTCACATCTGGTACCTTTCCCTTGTCTTAAATAATGGCTCTGTAGCTGTTTCTCCCAGAAACAAATGCCTCCTTCACTCTTTCCAATCCAGTATGTCAATAAAAAGGGAAATGTACAGATCTGTTCACTCAATTTTCTGTTTTTCCCTTCCCTCAGTGGTTTTTATTTCCAGAAAACAACAGGAAGACCACTGAAAACTCCCAACATTTTTACAAGCTTTTCAGATTACTCAAAAGCTATATTTAACTAGGTTTTCAGAACCTAGTGTTTGACCTCTCGTTTCTATGGCTAAACTTAATTGTTTGAAATACATACTGGTCCCATGACTTATGCTCCAGCTCGTAAAGAAAAGTTCATTTTAGCCCTTGAATCTTCTTTCAGCACCTCCCTAGGTTTCCTTCTCATTCTACTACCATGCAATCTCTACCTGCGTATAAAATAAAAATTCGGGAACAAAAATCTGAAAATGCTGTTGCAACAGCTAGCAGAACTAAGCTACATACAAAGAGCTGCCTAACAAGCAAAGTTCACCTCCTTTCTTCACACTTAGTCCTACCAATGAAGGAATGGTTAAGGTCATGATGCTATTCTCATCCAAAAAGTCTTCTAGTCTCATTTTTAATGAATACTGATATATATTAGTGTAGCCTGACAATAACTCCAGAAAAAAAAAGAGTTGTCAAATGAATACCATAAGCATTTTGAGATGTTATGTAGAAACACCATTTTTTGTGCCAGATAAAAACCCAAGAATCACCTCTGTGTACTGCAAGCTGAGGTTAATGGCTAGATACCATCATTTATTCTTTTGATAAACTGCTAACAGTAACAGAACTCACAGCATGAGGTCGCAGCTCACGTACAAAGACCTCTGGATGAGCTAGTTGTTTGCTAAGATAACAGAAAGCTTGCCAACACTTGCCTTCAAAATACTGCAGCCTTGCTGTCCCCACCATACTTTGGGAAGTTTAATTCATCAACGCAATGAAATGCTGCATTCTTCCTATGGCTGTGTGTACAAACAAGGACAATATCTTGACCAAACAAATGGAATTGTATTAGGAACTGCTGATACAAAACCAATACATGTTCTTAAAGCTGCAAAAAAGGTGCTTATTTCCAAGCATTTGTAAATTAGCAGAGATACCATGAAAAAGATTCCTGGTTCTAAAAACAACAACAAAAACACTGAACTACGGTCCCTAAACCATGAGCCAATATTTGCATGAATTAACTTGGGAGCCTGTTCTCTGTACCAAAGAGGAAGCACACTCAGCACAGGAGAAGTTACTTAAAGCCCTGACACAGCTGCATTAGCTAGTAGTTTAGGGAATTAATTTTAATTGTCCAGGTGTTTATCTGGTGGCAGAGAGAAAACCATGGCTGTATTGCCCTGGCTTCCCATCCTGCAATCTAGTCAGCAATAGCACCCGGGGGCTTATCAGATCTGGTTGCACAACTTTGCATAAGATTAGGGAAAACACAGAACTTTATTTTCATTCCCTTTGCTACATTCCTCAAAATCTTTCTCATGTTTGTCAGTGCTGTACTACAGTACTACGCTGTGATCAAAGCAGGTCATTATGGGACAGCATTGTACGCTGACACTTTTGAGAACACCCTTTAGAAATCTTCTGAAAAGGAAACAAGTCTCCCATCAGGACTTCTGAACTTTTATTTCAACCAGATTGCCTCATATTCATGAAGAAAGCACGTGTGTATTGACATTTTAGTCACTTCCCATACATACAGGGCTAATTTTTCTTTTGAAAGATGATTTAAGCATCAAAAGAAGATTTCTTATGAAGTACAACTCTTCATGACACCTATGTAAATATGTGAAGAAATGGAAAAGTAAAGCAATATGTAATCAAGAAATATGTCTTTTTTTTTTCCTTGTAAGAAGCTGAAGTCCATTTTGAACACTGCTTTGTAAGAAGATCACATACTTTTAATGTAAAGTTTCTTGTTTGTGGAAGTATTTCAGAATGCTGTTGTACTTTAAAAGGCACAACTCTTGAGATGATTAAGCAATTTGTTTGCAGGCCATTTAGGAGCATGCTCTATAAAAAGCTTTTCAAGTTTATTTTCTGTTAATGGTGTTAGCCTTTCAGAGTAGCTAATTTTTGCTCATCTCTTGGAAAAAAAAATACGTCCTTACAGCTGCTGTGAGGTTGACCTAATAATAAACTCTCCCAGTGCGCCACAGAACAAGTCTCCAGTTCTCAGTTTAAGTGTGAGAGCAAGTCAAAGCACATGTACAGAAAGGTTCTGTGTCTCTGTGAGGGACTCAATTCTCACTCACACCAGAAACTTTTCCTTTGAGCGTGTGCTCAGACCCCATGGCACAGAAGCATCTGAGCAGTCCAACATCGATAGGGGTCACTCTTGAATGCCTGAGACAGAACCATCACCTCTGCTGAACTTTGTTTGCAAATTGCCTGCACAGTGATTCATGAACTATTTAAAATCTTACTTTTTTCAGGCAATTACTTAATTTTATTTTATTTTTTTATCATCAGCTGTCTTATCCAGATGACCTGCAATAACCCCACTTCCAAAAACAAGTGAAGAAAAGTACACTGCATTGGTTTACGGAGTGTATTTTATAAAGACATCTTAGAGAAAAGAACACCAAATTTGTGAGGGAAATGAATCTGGCTCTGACAAAACAGCTCCAAGCAACGCAGTTTGCTTCCCAGCAAATTCAGACTTAATGCTCATGAATTATTAAGTTACCTTGTTGGCTGGAAGCCATAAGGGAGGATTACAGAGCTTACAGTAAGACTGTTACTGCAAACACTGGGTTTCCATAGAAACAGAAATTAGTTAAAATAACTACCTGTCATTTCTCTCAACCATATTCAAGGGAAAACAACCAAAATGTTAAAAATGTTACTAAAGCTTGCAGGAGAAACGTGGCTAAGCACCAATTACGATCTCCTTGGGCTCTCATGCATCTGCCACAAAAGCATTTGACAGTCATTAGTTGTTTGTTTTGTTGTTTGTTTTTTTTTTGGTTATTTACATCATGAAAGGTAGGTATTTTTGTTCCTGAAAGGAACCCTCTCTATTAGCTAGAAGTTTCTATTTCTAAAAAAAGAGAAATTAGTCATACAGTGTGATTTCTTAGTCCCTGCTGGTGATCCTGATGTTTAACTTCTGAAAAGCAAGGCAGATCAACCCTGACAGGCGGTAGGTGTGCAACAAATAACTGTAGGGGTTACAAGTATTTTATGCAACATTTCATCACTGCCTATAACCTGGGAACACTTATTTGTCAGAAACGGGTCTGAGGTCTAATACAGTGATTGGCTCTCTTAATTCTTGCCCTGTAAACTGCACAACCTTGTTACCTGGCTTTGCATGTGGTAACTTCAGGCAGAGGAAAAGAACTGGTCTTTGCCAGTAAAGGTTTCAACAGAGAGCTGAGGCATCCAAGAGCAGCGATCATGACACCGTGGCTTCCTACAGAACAAGCTGCTTACAGTATTTGCTTTCTTTGAGCTGCAGAATTTCACTCAACATTTCAGCAATGTGCACCCTTACCATCTGAGACAACACAATCTTTCTAGTGGTATGTGTTCATGGTCTGTTTTTGTTCTTTCTGAACAGCAACAGGGAAGAAAAATGTAACAGGAAAAATCAGATGCAGGTATTTAAAAAAAATATTAAAAATAAAATGAATCATACTTGAAGAAAAAACTGTATCCTTGCCCCCTGATATGTGCCATCTGATCCCCAACATGAAAGGTTTTCTTTTGGGAAGCATGGCAGAGGTGGGGAGATTTGAGATATAATGGTAAAAGATCCTAATTTACAATGAACTCGTATTAGAAATTATATAGGATAGAGTGAACATCTCTGATAAAACCACTTATCTCTCTAACTTTCATATACCAATTCAGACAATAATAATTTATTTAAAATATACAATATTAACAGGAAAAGGGATAAATAGTAAAACTAAGCAAATTAGTGAGAGATGTCTAGGGAATAAAAGTCAGCTGGGGCAAGTGGTAATGAAAATTGAAAGAAATTATTCCTCTTTTGTCTTTTTTTTTTTTCTAGGAGTCGCGTATTATGCCAGAGAGACTCTTCCCCTGCCACCAACGTGTCTGCAGCAGACTTCAGAGACCCACATATTTCTCACATCAACTAGAATGACCAGAACAATGGCCATTGCTGTAGGTAACAATATTCTTTACTGTTTATTTGATGATCTTTAAATTCACTTTGAGCAGAACCAAAAACTGGTATCCTTGTTACTACTATTGCTATGGATTATCTATTTCATGGAAGTCAGGAAAGTATTTTCCTCGAAACACTGAAAACACAATAAACTGAAGTATAGGAAATACTAGAGGAAGATTAGCTATTCCAGCAAATGAAATAAGCATAAGAGGTAACAATAAGAAATAGGACTTTTTTTCATGACTAAGCTGAAGAAAAAGCTCATTAGCTGGTAAGCCTAATCCCTAGGTAAATTCTCAGAATATTAAGGAAATAATTCAGAATGATACAAAATTATTTTTCCCAGTAGACAAATAACAACAGTGTCAGTGAATTAGATAATATTTCCATTTTAAAATAACTATGAGAAGGCTGCTATTCAAACTTAACAAATGGGAAGTTTAGTATGCAATTGCACAATAAAATAAAAATATAATTTTCTGCTTCCTAACATAGGAACTGAGAACAGTTGAATATGGTAACATTTTAAATGCAGTTAACAGGGGACATACACGCACATTACCTCAGCACTCCCAGATTTGTTGCCTTAGCAATGTAGAAGAAGGCATCTTAAGATCAGTTCCAGACTCAGGGGAAGAACACACTGAGACTTCCCTGCCACAACTCACGCTAGCTCCAGTGCCATTTATTATCATTCCTCTTTTTCTTGATCTTTCCACACTAACCAAATTAATTTCTTCAGCTATTTGACTTCAACCATCTTCATCTTCCTAATGCTCCTATCTTCCCTTCTTGTAGCCTTATTAATGCCTATCTTCTGTCCTGTTCTTGCCCTGTCTATGTCTCCAGGCCTCTGCTCTCTGAGCTGCTGAGCTCCCCTCCACGCAAGCAGCATCTGATTTCTAGGACCTGTACAGTTCCTACACCACTGTTTAGGAGCGTGTAGAGTCACGTCGTACAGGTGTTCTCCTATTAACATGCTGATTCCACCTCACAGAGCTCTGAGAGGACTCAAGCCCCTACTCAGGTCAAACTTCTGGAAAATTTGTCATCACTGTTCACAAGTCTGCTTAAAGTTTAAAATGAAAGCTGCCGACAATTACAATTGTCTATGATAGGAAGCATTAAAAGAATATTATTAAAGAAGAAACATGTAAATGCAAGGTACTTTTAGCTCTGATGTTCTTGCTAGGTTTTTGGTGCAGCTGATATGTATCCCTATTGACAGTTTACAAGTTTACACTGCCCCAGTGCTCGTAAGGAAGACGGGCAGGGGGTGCTCCGGGTGTCGGGGCAGCAGGTCCATGGTGGAGCAGGCTGAGCCCTGCAGCCCCCGGGCACCACGCAGAGCAGATCCCCATGCCACAGCCTGTGGAGGAGCCCACGCAGGAGCAGGAGGCCCGAGGGGACCCGTGCTGGGGCCATTGGCTCCTGATGGACAGAGCCTGCAGTGCAGGCCCACGTGGAGCAGTGCTCGAAGAGCTGCAGGCTGTGGGCAGCCCATGCAGGAGCGGCTCAGGAAGGGACCCCACGTGGAGCAGGGCAGAAGCGGCGGGGACCCATGCTGGGGACTGACCGCAGCCCCGCTCCCTGCTGCAGGGGGGAGGCAGCAGAGGGAGGACGAGGGAGGTGGTTTTGGTTGGCTTTCAGTTCTCACTGCTCTCATCTGGTAATGTAATTTACTGCCTATTACTAATCTCCCTCTGCTGAATCTGTTTTGCCCGTGACAGTAATTGGTGAGCCATCTCCCTGTCCTTATCTCAACCCATGAGCTTTTTCATCCCATTTCTCCCCCTGTTCTGTTGAGGAGGGAGAGCGGGAGCGCAGTGCGGTGGAGCTCAGCTAGCTGCTGGTGTGAACCACCACAGATAAAGAGGGAGAGAGACTCTCATCAAATTTGTAAAGGTTACTTTCAGCAACTTTGTATAAATTTGCACTCTGACATTAGGGATACTGTGTCTGAGGAAACTCCTTCTATGGAAAAAATCAGAGAATCCCCTCTCGGTGATGAACCTCTTCCTGATGTCCAGCCTGAACCTCCCCTGCTGTAGCTTGACTCCATTGACTCAGAATTGATTCCATACAAAGTGCATTATTTCTACATCCATAGTTTTTCAAAGTGGTGAGTTTTGTTCTTCTCTACCTAACCACCATCAGAATTTCTTTTTAGAGCCTAAAAAACAGTATGGTGACTTCTATCAATTCAGTTACACCTATGAGAAGGTAATGGCAGCTCAGAGACACTAAAACAGAAGACTGCAGAAGTCAGTAGCTTGAGACCACTCTTCCTTTTCTAGGCCCCACACTGGCCAGATCATTTACACCTTTAGTACCTTAATCTCTTATGTATTTTTCTGTTAACTTTTATCACATAAAGTAACTTGGTTGAAAGCTGTCTCAACTTCATGAGGGAAATCATTGTTTACATTCTTGCTGCAGTTCCAGCCCATACATGACAACATTAGTAAGAACGCTGACAATTAACGTTGTTTGATACAGCCTTGACAAAAGGGCCAGATGATTTCATTTCAGTTACATGACATTGGAAATACCAAAATCCAACTGTCATGATATAAATTAATGGAAAATTTTTGAACATCTTTATCTTTACATATCACGCTTCTTAGAACTTTGTCAGTGGCATTAAATTCTTAAGACAGAAGATGTGAGACAGACTTTACTATTCACATTCTCCCCAACATCCACCCACAAATTGATACCCATCTCTCCATATCACCTACAGCATCAGGAACAAAGCTGTGTTCTCTCTCATTTTGCTATTGCAAACACAGAAACAGATGCTTTAACACAGAAATAGAGGTTTTGAAATTATGGAATTCCTACCACTTTACCGAAAATTAGCTGCTCGGTGAAAGATACACTTCTGCATTTTAAGGGTTTTAAAATCCCATGAGACTCAGTTTCTTCACATTTCTGTATGTGTTTCACTTAGCCATCTGCTATGAAATAATGGATTACAATTTTATCCTTCAGTGGGAAGCAAAAGAATAAGAAAGGGCATCTCAAAAAAGCACAATGAGAAGCTTTATGAAGGCCTAGATGTTACCCTCATTAATACCTCCACATACGCAGAGGTAAGAATCAAAGGAACAAGAAAAGAACAAGAGTGTGAAGCTTTTTCATGGACTTCAACAGACTTTCTCTCTAATGCATCTAACTAATAAATGTTGGCTTGCCTCAGAAAACCTAGAAGCATTTATAATGAACATTAATGTCGTCTTTTTGAGCTGTCGCATGCTTTTCCATCTGACAGGCCCTGTGCCTTGCCATCTGAGGCGGAGAGGAATAATGTGACATGCAGAATTCTAACTCTACATCTTTCCCTAACTGCAATCTCCAGTCAAGACCAGTTTCTACCATGATGCTGCTACAAAACTAACAGCTGATTACTACTAACATAGTAGAAAAGATTTCTAACATTAATTTTAAGAGGTGATAGGATCACCATAATGCTTAAAACTTGTCTACTATATACCATTTACATTAAAATATATCTTTGGATTAATTTTAAGGAGGATGAAGGAGGGTCAGAGGAAGATGTCTGCCCTGTACGAATGTATACTTTGCTATTCTTTTTTTGTATCCCCTATCTTGTGATGTTTTTTCACACAAGCATTTACTGTCTCTTTTTTTTTACATTGGACTGCAAATGTTCTATGCTTATGATTCACATCAGGACATCAACTTATTGTGAAAAGGTATGACGTGTACTCTGGTATTACTCAGTACTTGAGCACAAAATTTTAGGCATCGTATGTTATAGCAAGCATCTCTCTGTAGGTAATCATACCCCGTCCCCACACCTGGAAGTCTGAACACACTGTATCCAGTCAGGTCTACATTTATCACCTACGTAACGAGAAAAGATACGATAATAACACAGTATGTGCTCATAGAAAGTTATATGGTTTAATGTCATTTAGGTAAAGCCTAAAGGCACAACTTATTATAAAGTAAAAGAAAAAAAGTGAAAAATGCTAATCAGTCCAAGTTAATAACGACCCAAATTATTGTTACATGATAGCTTTGCCTTTCCCACATTCATCTCTCCTTGCAATGCTTTGCACTCCCACAAATTAGTCTCATGAATGATTATGATTCCGTTGCTCCTTTTCTTTCCCCTTTTGAACAACGAGTACTTTCCCTTCCAAATCAAATTACATTAAACAATAACAGGAGAAAGAAATTCTACTAATTCCATCTGGATGTTTCTCCTGTACAGAGAACAATGAGGAAGAGTCAACATTTGAAGAAAAAATTAACTAAATTATTGACAGATAGACACCTGCAAAAGGGAAATGAAAGGAATACTTCAAGAGAAGCAAGATATAGGGCACAAATTTGCATGCATGGGAACCAGCCATACCTTTCAAGGTCATTAGTTCTGCAGCATTTTTCCTCTCATTTCATTCTGCTGTAAGGTAAATGGGTCATTAATATATACATTTATATAAACCTTTTAAACCTGATTATCACCAATGATCTCTTGAAATTTCCAGTAGATTCAGAGACTTAAGAGCCCACATTGGGAACTACTTAAGCAGAAGGATTACACAGTTCTGCATTTGAATCATAGAATCACAGAATGGTTTGGGTTGGAAGAGACCACAAAGCCTACCCAGCCCCAACCCCCCTGCCATGGGCAGGGACACCTCCCACCAGCCCAGGCTGCCCCAGCCCCATCCAGTCTGGCCTTGAGCACTGCCAGGGATGGGGCAGCCACAGCTCCTCTGGGCAGCCTGGGCCTCATCACCCTCAGAGTAAAGAATTTCTTCCTGACGTCTAATCTAAATCGAACTTCTTCTGGATGGAAGCCATCACCCCTGGTCCTATCACCACAACTCCCTGACAAAATCCCTCTTCAGCTTCCCTGTAGCCCCTTTTAGGCACTGGAAGGCCACAATAAGGTCTCCCCAGGACCTTCTCTTCTCCAGGCTGAACAACCCCAACTCCCTGAGCCTGTCTCCATAGCAGAGGTGCCCCAGCCACTTGATAATCCTAGTGGCCTTCTCTGGATTTGCTCTAATACACCCCTGTTGTTCTTCTGAAGGGGGGCCCCAGAGCTGAATGCAGGGCTCCAGATGGGGTCTCACGAGAGCAGAGCAGAGGGGGAGAATCCCCTCCCTTGCCCTGCTGCCCACACTGCTGTTGGTGCAGCTCAGGGTACAGGTGGCTTTCTGGGCTGCAAGCATACATTGATGCTCATCTATAAGAAGGGTTGTAAGGAGGACCTGGGGAACTACAGGCCTGTCAGCCTGACCTTGGTGCCAGGAAAGGTGATGGAACAGGTCATCTTGAATACAATCATGCTGCATATGGGGGACAACTGGGGGATCAGGCCCATTCAGCATGGGTTCATGAAAGGCAAGTCCTGCCTGACCGTCCTCATCTCCTTCTTTGACTGGATGACCCACCTTGTGGTTGAGGGAAAGGATATTGACATAGTCTACCTACATTCAGCAAGGCCTCTGACATGGTGTCCCCACAGCATTCTCCTGGAGAAGCTGGCAGCCCATGTCTTGGACAGGTACACACTGTGCTGGGTTAAAAACTGGCTACACGGCCAGGCCCAGAGAGTGGTGGCAAATGGAGTTAAATCCAGCTGGTGACAGGTCAGCAGTGGTGTTCCCCAGGGGTCAGTGTTGGGACCCACCCTCTTTAATATCTTTATTGATGCTTTGGATGAGGGAATTGAGTGCACCCTCAGTACATTTGCAGACAACACCAAGTTGGGGGAAGTGTCGATCTGCCAGAGGGTAGGAGGGCCCTGCAGAGGGACCTGGGCAGGACGGGTCGATGGGCAGAGGGCAATGGGATGAGGTTCAACATGGCCAAGTGCCGGGTCCTGCACTTTGGCCACAACAACCCCATGCAGGGCTACAGGCTGGGGGCAGAGTGGCTGGAAAGCTGTGCAGAGGAAAAGGCTCTGGGGGTGCTGGTTGATGCTCACCTGGACACGAGCCAGCAGTGTGCCCAGGTGGCCAAGAAGGCCAACGGCATCCTGGTTGTGTCAGGAGTAGTGCAGCCAGCACACCAGGGAGGTGATCGTCCCCCTGGGCTCTGCTCTGGTGAGGCCGCACCTCGAGTGCTGGGTTCAGCTTTGGGCCCCTCACTCCCAGAAGGACATCGAGGCCCTGGAGCGTGGCCAGAGCAGGGCTGCGAAGCTGCTGCAGGGCCTGGGACACAAGTCCTGTGGGGAGCGGCTGAGGGCACTGGGGGTGTTTGGGCTGGAGAAGAGGAGGCTCAGGGCAGACCTCATTGCTCTCTGCAGCTCCCTGAAAAGAAGGTGTGGGGAGCTGGGGGTCAGCCTCTTCTCAAAGATAACTAGTGACAGGACCAGAGGGAATGGCCTCAAGTTGTGCCAGGGGAGGTTCAGGTTGGAGATGAG